TTTCTGCACAATTTAGGAGGACTTGATTGGAAGATAACCAGTCCATACCCAAGATTACATCCAATTAAGATAAAGGTAGACAAATTAAATTTACAAGGAATTTCCTATTTTCAACGAACAAAGGACAATCTAGATAAATTTTATTGGTGATTACAGACTTACTTGTGGGAGTTGAAACAATCAAACTAGTATCTAGAAAAAAAATCGGCAATTCAAGGTGTTGGACACAATCATTGGAGATAAATGAATGAGTTGCGTTTGAGTCATACAGTACATTTAAAGTTTTGCCTTTAATGAAACACATACCTTGGATCAAATCATTATTCTGATAAGCTTCAGTTCCATTCATGGTATATATTCTTCCTGTTGTCGGAGGTATTCTTTTTGGTGTAGAAGGATCAAAATTTGGTTTTTGTTGCCGACATTCAGAGAATATATGACCAGGTTTCCCAAACTTGAAACAGAAAGATCCTTTAAGATGACAATCTTTAGCATAATGATCTTGTCCACACTTAAAACACTTGAGCTGATTATTTATACGGTTATTAAAATTTCCTGCAGAAAATTGATTGGGTTGGGATCTCCAGTGGGGATGGTTGTAAGGTTTTTCTCCATTTTATCTCCTTTTATTATGCTAGGGTCCAAAAGGTTTTGGTTAACTATTTTGATGGTTTTCAAAATCTTCCAAAAATCTGCATTTATGAATAAGCGTAGGAAAATAAAAAATTTCTAGTATTCCTACTGCTTTTCTCAATTCGGGCCTAAGTTCATTCTCAAATTTTATACACTTCATTCTTTCATCAGGGTGATAAAAAGAATGCAGAGTATTTTCCTAGCTCTTCAAATTTAGAGGAATATTCTCCTACTATCATACTTCCTTGCTTTAATTGCATAAACTCTATTTCTTTCGCTCTTCTCACATCATTGGGAAAATATTTTTCTAAAAATTTTGTTCTAAACACTTCCTAAGTAATGATTATTCTTCTTCCTTCTAGTAATCTCCTGGTACTATCCCACCAATATTCAACCTCTCCTATGAACATAAACACGACATAATTCACCTTTTGGTCATCAGGACAATTCATAACTTTAAATATTTTTTCCAATTCTTTAATTCACAATTCAACCTTTTCTGGGTTATAACCTCCAGAAAATTGCGGATGTTTGTTTCTCCTAAATTCAACTAAACCTTGTGATCCATTGGTTCCTTCAGGTCTTTGGTTCCTTAATAATGCAGCGGCCATGTCTCGGATAGCTTGTACCGCTTCTGTCAACTCGTTGTTCCTTCTATTATTTTCCATCTGGAATTATATAAGTTAGGATTCATAAGATATCATGATAGACTCATTTTACAGGTCACACATGAAACGTTGCTTTGATACCATTTAATGTGACATTTTATTATTATTATTATTATTATTTGTATAAGAGTAGTAGGTAAAAAAAAATACATATATGTAAAAGTAATTTACATCATTATATATATATATATATATATATATATATATATATATATATATATATATATATATATATAAGATATACAAAAGAAGAAGGAATTTTATTTTTGATTCCTTCTATTTTTTTCTATAATTTTACAAGTATCTACATTTCGGTGGAAACAAACTGATTAAAGGGTTTTGGAAAAAGGTAGGAGACATACAAAAGGTAATTACTACTGGTCCATCTAACATAATGAGATTTCCCGTATTAGATACAAATGTTATTATTAAAAATCCTGTCCCTTTAAAAGTAACCGAGTTGTCTATCACATTCGTGTTCCAAGTAGTTCCTGGAAAGAAGACAGTGATGTTTGCAGAAAAAGGGATTTGGAATATTTGGCGCCTCCATCTACTTAAGTTGGTGTTTAAATAAAACATGCACAAAAGATCACAATAGGGAGTGAGAACATTTATCATTTACAATAATACAATCTTATTATATATAAATATATATGTTTCATCTTCCTCAACCCATTCTATTTTATGAAGATTTAAATTAAATTTGTAGTGACTAGTCAGGATAAATGAACCTAATTTTAATCACTCTCACAGTGATATTTTACTCATTTAAATCCCCAAGGTCCGACCTCCATCTTCAATATCATCAAATCTTCACAAATAGATATTATTATAATTAAATAATATAACTATATATTAATAAATAGGATCGCTGCATTACTAGAGATAAAATAAAGTAAACAAACAGGACCAGTACATAACCTGGAGATAATTAAAATAGGACCAGTGCAAGACTGAAGATAAAATAAACAAGCATAAGGTAGGACCATTACATAGTTAGAGATAAATAAACAAATAACTAAATAAATAGAATGAGGTTAGAGACACCTCACTCCACAACTATAAACAAAATAAAATAGATTTAATGATAATATAATTTTGCAGAGACAATTTTTTTTCTCTCTTTCTCTTCCTCCCTCTCTCTTTCTCTTTCTGCTTTTCTCTTTCTCTTTCTATTTCTCTCTCCTTCTTTCTCTCTCCCTTTCTCTTTCTCCCTACGGATCCTTCCCCCTTCCTTTTTTATAGCAATTTTTTTTTCTTTTTATTTATTTAATTACGTACTCATAAATGTAGTAATTATGATTTCGATAAGGTTTATTTCTTAAGCTAAGATAATGTTTATCTTTTACATTAATTGAGATGTTACAAAGATTAAAAGTAAATATTTGATTGAGTTTCTTAAAAAAGTGTTTAGAGTTGCTTTTATATATATATATATATATATATATATATATATATATATATATATATATATATTTTTTTTTAAGTATAATTATATGAGATTGTCTTAATTATTATAAAGTTATTAGTGAGTTATCTTATTATATGTCTAATATTTTATTATGATTTATTTTATATGCAAAATATATCTTCAAAGGGTAATATTTAACAGTAATAATTAGTCTTAATTTCAATAATGCATGCACTTACATTTTAGTTATATAAATTTAGTCATTCTATCATTTTTACAATTAAGTTGTTTTAGTTAATCTTTTACTTGATCATATGTTAGCTGTGTGTTAACATGATGTGATTAATTATTGATTCATGTCAGGTTGTTAATACAAAATTAACAACATTTAATATATGTCAAGAATAAACTTAATTTAGTCATGAAAAAATAATTACATAAATATGATTGATTTTCTGTTTAAGTTTCGATAAATAATTTTTTACTGAATTAAATTAGGACTTTGTTGTAAGTTAATAGTGTAAATCAACTCTGCAATAAAAGAACTCTATGCAATTATAATTATAGTATACTTCTTGGAAATTTTGAAATTAATTATGATGTCGCTTAAAAATATATGAATGGTTTCACTGGAATATTTATAGCTTGTATGAATATTGAATTAAAATATATTACTTTGATCATATATTGTTATTATTTGGACCTTTCGATGTTGAAAATTATTTTGAGTATAACACCTACGATTTTCAAGCTTTTGAAAATATTGAAATTTTTTGTGAAAGAGCCCCTTCTTTGGAGCACTTGATCCAGTAATTAAGGGATAATATTGTTGAAACTTTTTTTCATGAATATTTTATTAATTGGTGATTTTTTATTTTATTAGATTATGAGTTGAATATGAATAATATAGTTTTTGTGTGAGCATAATTATTTTGTTAATATTGTGTTAAAATTAATAATAGGTAGAATAGTCTAAATAATAAGTTTATTTAAATCATATTACATTATGTAAGATAAATAATATAAAATTTTCAATACGTCTTTTCCAACGAAATTTGTGAGATTAGATAATGGGAGAAAAAATTAGGTTTTGTATGTGATATTATATTAGAGTTTTAATATAGAATAAATTGATAATAGGATGTCTAATATGTATTTAAACCGTGAGACTTTTAAATATAGATTAATGTCACAAAATTAGTATGTTTTAGGTTAAAATATTAATATAAATACGTATGATCCTCTTTTAAATAAAAAAAGAGTTTATCTCTCAAATATAATATGTTAATATTATTAGATATTTTAGGAAGATATCTTAAATATTAATATCTAAGGTAAAAATGGATTTGATTAAAATCTAAATCTATTTAATTAAATTAATTTAGATTTTCTATTTTACTTTTAATTAGATAAAATTCATATTTATTTTATCATATAATTTTGATAAAATTGGAATTAAAATGCATGTTATTATATATGGTAAATTTAAATTAAGTTTTATTTGAATTAATTTAGTTTTTTATATTTTTATTAAATAATTAAAATATTTTCAAAATTAAAAGTTATTAATTTTGGAATAGAGAAATGATCGTATAAAATGAATAATAATATAATGATTCAATATATAAAAATACAAGTGTTCTATGATTCAAATGGAAGTTTTATTTTTTCCTTTTATGCGTTATTTTTTCATTACTTAATTATTTTTTTATGCTTTATTTTATCCTATGGTAGTATGAGTGCTTTTTATGTTTGATGTGTTTGTCCACTTTAATCTGACTATTTATTTAAAAAAAAAACTAAATAATAATTTATTCTATAAACAAAACCAATTTTTATTATATCCCAAAAGGACTTCAAGATATTAAATCCATTCATTAAAATAGATTTGAAGTGTAATTAGATTTAGCTAATTTAAACTTTTTCCAAATTTATCAACCCAATATATTTCCCATTATTACATCCAGATTTTATACACAAAGTTTCTACTACATCTCATGAAATATAGTGTAAGTGGGTATTAAATCATTTTACCAAGTTATAATTAAATTTATTTTGCATAACTAATATTTCTAATAAATGCAAAATAACTTTGACATATGTTTTTGTCTTGTCCATCCTTAAAAAGAAGAGACATGTTTCCTCTTCTTCCACATTCTCGGGCCCAAAATTCAGGAATCAGTTTTGAAAATTGACATTAGTGGAGATTTTGCATGGTGGTTAATTAGTGGGGATGTTGGTGGTTTTAATTTTCTAATTTTTAATTTTTTTTTTTTATTGTGTCTGACGGGGTGCATGGCAGTGAAGTAGTGGGAAATGTGGTGGAGGAGGTACGCATGTGAGGCGCGAACATGCAGCCCGTACCCGCCCACTATGTGGGTCCCACCTCCGCCACGCTGGTTCGGTCGACAAACAGACCAACTGACCCACTCAGTGTCGTCTTCTACCCCATCACGCTCCACGCCACCACTCTTTTCCCATGTCGTTTGTTACTATATTTACATGCATACTATTCCTTCACTCGCTTTTTCTCGCTCCTTCTTGGCGCGTGTGCTGCACCCTCTATACTCCAATAATTTTTCTTACAGAAGATTTTTTTTTTTCTTAATTTGGATAAAATTCACATTAAACATGTATTTCACACATCTGAGGTAATTTGGCTTGAAGATATAGAATTCCCCAAGACATTAAATTTTTACATATCTTAAGTATTTAATCTAAAACAAAAACTTTAGATATCATGATTTAAGTATAATTTTTATTATCATTGTTTGATTAAAATTAGAGTGGTATTTCGATAATATGTTGAAAAGACTTGTACTAAAAGTCACGTAGTTGATCAAGATGAATTATAATTCAGTTTGGATTTAAAAAAAGGAGCTATTTATGTAAGTCTTATACTATAATGACTATTCCGCTTATAATTAATGGAGAAATAACGTCAGATATAAATAATAAATTTTATAAATAATATATTTTTAAAAAATTATTTAAATTATTTATTTATTAATTTTTTTTAATATTAATACACAAAATTCGATAAAATAAAATAAAATTTATTATTATAAAGTAGTTTGTTTTTCTTTTTCCGGTTCACTTTTTTTTTTTTTAATTCATGGCATGTTTTACTCTTTTTTTTAGTTTCTTTTTGTTTTGTTCTTTTCTCGTATTTTTCACTCCATCTTATTATTCTAATTAAAAATATCAAGATGAATTGATATATTATATTTCATATCATATTAAAGAATTTATATATCTTAATTTATATTTTTTAAATTGGTATTTGAGTGGTAATGATCTTCGAATATTAAATTTTTTTAAACCTCTAAAATGAATTTTTTTTTGATATGTTTAGAATTAAATTAGTTTTTTTATTTATTCAAACTCAAAAAAGTTTTCAATCATTTTTAAAAATATGTGACAAAAGTAGAAAAGAAACAAAAATGTCAGAGTTAAAAAAGAACGTATTTACTATCAAATAAATAAAATGAAAATTTGTCTGTATGCTAAAAACAACTATAAATGATCCTTGTAAAATTTTTAATCATTTTAATTATATATGAATTATTAATACTGAAGTTATAAATCATATTATATTTAATCTTAAAAAGATTATCTAAATTAAATCATTTACTCAAAATATATGTTTTTATTGCAAGTGAAAATTAAGTCCAATTTATTAGAAATGATATTTAAATATTACTAGTATTTTAAATCTTAATTTTGTCTTGATTATTTATTATTTAAACTTTAATCTTTTATTTGTTCCCCAAATGATAATTGATTTAGTCTTGTATAATAATTTTTTGTCAAACTGTTGTGTTTTCAAAAACATTAAAGGAAAACAATTAATTGGCTATAATACTAAGAAATGAAACTTATATTATTTAAAATTGTAAAAAAAGAAAGCATTATGTGTGTAATTTTAATTGTAATTAGTAGTTGAACTTCTTGAGATGTGAGAGGGGTCATGGTCACCTTCCCTTCCCCTCCAAAATTAGTGTAACTATATTAATATTTATGATTTTTACCTTCATATTTTTATATATTTAAAAATTTAACATCTTATTTTTTTATATTTTTTTACTTTTTTATATTTATTTATTATTTATTAATAATGTATTACTTGTCCCATTCAAAATCAATTGGTGAATATTCGTCACTCATTATGATGTTTGTGAAAAGTTATAGAATATCATTTCCATTAATTTTAAATAAAGGTATTCAATCTTTTGTGGTGATAAATATGATGTGTGAGGTCAGTCTAAAATCCAAACTTTAGGTTAATTTGGTTGGTTTCTTACTTTTTTTTTTGTGTTTGTACAATAATAACTTGTTTTTAATTAATGAAATAAAAAAAATTAGGTAAGTTTATAATTTAATTTTTTTTATAAAATGGTAATAACTCAATATAATACTTACATTCAAGTTTTCCATATTGGTAATGATGAGGATAATAAAGTGTGAACTCCAACTCTATTTAGAAGCTAATAAAATTTTTAATCAAACTATTTGTCTTAATGAAATATGAAGATGAAGTGCACTAGGTACGAGCATTTTGGTCACAATATAAGATGATGCAAAAATCAACCAAAGAAAACCACACGGGTAAGATAGATTTGTGCTAGATCTGTCCACTTACAGTTACCTGTTTCAATTTTTTTTGTGACTAATGAATATTTCTTGTTCTTCAAATATAGGAGAAAATCAAATTTGCATCTTCCAGAAAAAGACCAACTACATCTGCAGACACTACAATTGCTGAAACAGTGGATAAGAGGCAGCCCAAATCTACCACCAACATTCCAACACCAAGAAGGAGAGGGAGACCACCAACATTAGGCTCCCAAGCCAGCTCCAACAACCTCACTGCCTAGTCCACATGAAATTTAATGGGTTTTGTAATGTAAATTGTTTGGGTATTATAATATGAAGCGATCCATACTACTTTTGTAATGTAAAGTGGTTCACTGTTTTTTAGTTTTGCTTCAGTTATGGTTAACAATTGTGCTCCACTTCTTTTATGTATTATTTTAAAACAGTGTGGTTCAATTTTATTGTTGTACTTTATGTGGATAAGTTCTTATATTAAATTACATATTTTCCCTTGTTTCCCTCCACTTGGTTGAATGTGGGATAAGATTGAAACATGATTCTCCACATTAAAAAACAACGAAACATGTTAAATGCAGGACATGTATTTGAATGATACGTGTATGTGCAGGAACATGTATAGTACACTCCATTTTTAAAGAATGAAAAATCCAATTCATTTTAAAGATGAATTGTATTTAAATTCAAAAGGAATAATCTAGACATAGATTCATTATTAAATAACTTTTAAATGCTTTAAATTTGGATTTAAATGACTTATAAATGACAGAGAAGTTTAAATTTCTTTTTAAATGGATTTTAAATGACTTTTAAATACAGATTTAAATGATTTTTAAAAGGTTGACACCTTTTAATTTATTTTTTTAAATAATTACACGTGTCAAATAATGAATGAGTCATACCATTTCTGTTAGACATGTCAGCATATACTTCACACCGCTTAAAATAAGGACATATTTCAATCATTTCAAAAGTATAGAGATCATTTTTATGTGAATTATGACAAATAGACTATTTTCAATTTCACATGAAAGTATAAAGACTAAAAACATACTTAACCCTTTTATTAAGTGTTGTTAGTCAATTATATATAATCCTATAGAGCAACATATGACACATTTTAAGATATTTAAAGTTAATAGTTGGAAAAAGATTATTGTTCACAAAAAATACAAATTATTAATAAATAAACGTATAGATATTAATTGGGGTTGGATCATCATAAGATATATGATCAATATTATACTACATTACCTGTAGAAACAAGAAAACAAAATTTGGTCTCTTGTTAAGTTCAGAAACTAAGTTTAGATATTTAACACTTAAAATTGGTAAATGTTTATGATTAAGATTCTTCTTGCAAGATATTATATACTCATCCCACAATCTATTAAATTAATTGTAATAATAAAATTATGTATGATATTACCCATAATCTAATATAACATTATAGAATAAAACATGTTTAAGTGAATATATTTTTTATTAAGGAAAAATTAGAAGAAAAAATTATAAAATTATCTATAATTCATAAAAAAAAACTAATTAATATCGTTATAAAGGTCTCTAAAATAAAATATTATCAAATATCTCGTTAATAGAATTTATATTCATCAACTTAGGAGAGTATTGAATTTTTTTTTATTCTCTTTGTAAAATATTGCATAATGATTGGTATAATTATAAAATATTTTAATTTTTTAATAACATAATTAAACACAAATTTATATCTTATAAATATGTTATACCTATTTTATTTTATATCATAAAATTAATATATTTCAATTTATATTTTTAAGTGATTAACACATTTTAATAATATGTAATGTAAAACACAAACTTATGAAAGCATCAAGTTGAAGAATAAAAACTAGTTCTATTATATGCTTCAAATGTGAAGGCTATGTACGTATTTCTCCAAAAAGCCCAAGGACTATTATAAATACCTGAGAGAGAAAAGAAAGCATTATAAAAAATATAGAAGATAGAAAGTGGGCTTAAACGAGAGAGAAAAAAAACTTCAGAGAAAAGATAAACATATAGAAAAATAGTATAAAAAAATAGAGAAAATATTAATGAAAAATAAAAAAAAAACTAAAGAAAAAGAATACTGACAAGTAGGATAAATAAGATAGTAAAAAGAAAGAGTTGAAAATAAAATAAAATTTTGAATCAACTGTATAATGAATATTTAAAAAATGCTAATGAATTGATATTATTTCTAATACGAATAATATTATTTTAAATAGTGACGTCAAATGCTTAAAATTTGAGATTATATCATATAAACTTTAATAATAAAGATAATTTTTGTCTTCAAATATTGATTATAAAAAATTTAACTATCTGACTTAGAATATGGATAAATTTAGTTTGTTAATTTTTAATTATTCATATTTTGGTCCTTATATTTCTTTTTATACACTTTCAATTCTTAATTTTAATTATTTATAATTTTTCAATTTTTCACTTTTAAAAAAATATGTAAAAATTATGACTTAATTATGTTTTTATCTTATAATAATTATAATTTTAGTCCTCAAATAGAAAAAATTATTAGAATTCTTCAAAATTAAAAAAATGTTTACTCTCTAAATCGTAAATTTATAAGATGAAAAAGAATTTCATAAAATTATTTTTAGTTCTTCAAATTTAGTATTTAAGAACAAAAATTGTATTTTACTAAATAAAATATATTTTTATTAAATATAAAAACAATCTTTTAACATTTAAATGTAAAAACTAAAATAAGAATCAAATATAAATTTAAAATAAAATATATTTTTTATTAAATATTTTACTAAAGCTGTTTCTAGAGCACTCTTTTCCCATTCCCATGCGAAAATTTTCAACTGTGCTCTGACCCACCAACCTTGCTCACATGACATGACAGTGGCTCTTCATGGTTTATAAAATTTTCAACTTAATACCAAAAGCATATAACTCTTTGCATGTGGATGCCAGAGAGAATCACATTTAAAAAAAAAAGGAAAAGAGAATTTATTCCTTCCAATAATCAAAAGAAATATAGTATTATAATACTTTTTCAATTAGCCCTTTGGGTTGGGTATTCTAACTTTTCATTCAAGTTATGATTTTTTTTTTTCTTACCAATGGTTTTTGACAAAGGCAATGCCGTGCAAGGTTCGAAACATATCAAGAATATATGCAACAAAATATAGAGATTACGTATGATTTATAAGACTATTTTGTTTTGACATGTTCATTTGTCAACAACATTAATATAAATCTAAATTATGCCTTCAATAAAGTCAAGAAGTGAAATATGACTCAAATTAGACACCAAAATACTAAGGAAAGGAAATATGACCCTACTAGATCAGGTACACTGAAAGAAAAGTATCATAACAAATATGAATGTTCTCTCCCAATTGATCATCTTTACTTGCTGCTTGGTTCCTTGACTATAGTCACAGGGCATGAGGCATGGGTCATCACAAAGTTGCTTACACTTCCCAAAATGATCCTGTTTTTTTTTTTTTTTAAAGAGAAAACAGACCATATTTCAATAAATGCAGATGACAAAGATCCATCACAGCAAAGAAATAAAAGCAAAATTCTGAGGTTGGGAGCAGAAAAAGCCAAGCTCACACCAAAAGAACAATGAAAAAGAGAAAAATATAACAGTGAAATCAAATTTCATGACTCACCCCAGAAGATAAAATTAGGGAAAAATAGGCTTTATTTCGTTTATTGCCACAAATATCATAATAATGTCTGTCTATACAAATAATTGGTGAGAGATGCTGCAAACTAGAATTAGGGGACAAGAAAGTAGGCACCTTTGGATTGTGCTAAGGCCCCTGCTTCCCAAAACTAGCGAATCCAGCTTCAGATCTTCAATCGCATCCAAAAGTTTCTCTCTTGCATCTCCCCAGTAAATTTTTGCAACAATGTGCACCTAAAACATCAACAAGTTCAGACACAATACTAAAACATAGGAACACCAAAAAAGAAAAAACAGATAGTTGTCAAAATTGAATTCCATTTTGTAGAATCTCAGTAGAAATAGAGAGAGATTGAAAAGGATTGTTTTTCTAAATCACCTCTTTCTGTCTAAAAGCAGTGTCAAGCATATCAAGGACCTCAATATCAATCTGAACACCGTACTTGTTCATAATCTCAGGCTCTCTGAACTCTTGCAAAGGAATTAGAGCTTCAAAAACAGAGAGCATAATCATAATCAGACTAGATCAGATCAGATCAGATCAGATCAGATAAACCCAGATCAAAAGATTTCCAAAAAAATGTTCACAAAATAAGTGAAAAACACCCAAAAAGCAGAAATTTGATACTGACGAGAACCGGATGTAGACCAAAGCTGGTTGCGAGACTCGTCTAAAGAATTGGGGCTGATGTGAATGACATAAATGGTGTCACCCTTATCAGCTAAGTTCTCAAGTGCCCATTTCAGAGCATTTTTGCTGCTCTTGGAAAAATCCAAGGCGACACCGATTATCCTATCCTTTCCCATGGCTTGTGTGTGTGAAGTGAAAAAGATAGAAAGAGAGTATACTCGGAAACGAACAGGGTTCAAATTTTGGACAAAGTAATACTCAGGTAGCTCTTTAATGACGCGTATATATATTGTTTTTAATATAGAATAATAAATAAAAATAATAAAAAAAATATATTTTTATATATACAAAATTTATTCTTAAAATACGTCGTTAAATTGAGGAAACAAAAATATGTATATAAATTTGAATAATTATTTATAAAAATTCAATCCATCCTGTTAAACAGGGACACGCGGAGCGGACAGAGAGAATCTAGTTAAGTAAAGAGACAAAGCGATAGTTCTGAATTTTTATTTTAATAAAATTCAAAGTGTTCGCTGCACACGTTTCATGTGACTAAAGCATTCTCGTGTCATCCTCGCCATCACTTCATCCCAGATTTAGCTGAATCACAGCCGTTCGTTTCTTTGTATATATATATATATATATATATATATATATATATATATTACTATATTGGTGGGCCCCATGTGGTCCGTGTGCAATGATGATTTTGCTTAACACATCACTACTTGGCGTGCCCGCAATTGTTGGATTGAAGGAAACTACGTCGTTTGAGTAAAAAATTTTAATACGTTCATTTTCTCCTTGCTTGTTATGAACAATAAAATATTATTTAACCAAAAATAATAATAAATAAAAATTTTAATTATGGAAATTTAGGTCTTTTGCTTCTTGATGAGACTTTGAAGTATCTTCAAGAGTTCATTTACTCAAGATAAAAATAATATAAAAACTTTAAATTATCGTAAACAAGGTCTTTTTTTGGTTCTTGATGATACTTTGAAGTATTTCCAAGAGTTTATCTACTCAAGACAAAAATAATAATAAAAAAAATTATCGTAATTAAGGTCTTTTTTCTTCTTGATGAGATTTTGAAGTACTCTCAAAAGTTTATCTACTCAAGAAAAAAAGAATAAATAGAAACTTTTTTGATAATTATCGTAACTAAGGTCGTTGCTTTTCTATGAGACTTTGAAGTATTCTCAAAGAGTTTTGATTCTTTGGAGCAGATATGGAATAAATCATCGGTTCACAACTTCTTGAATGGATCTTTAATTATAAAAAAATAAAAATATGAATATGTATTTCGCTATGATATTTTTATTTTATATAAAATAATTTCTCTAGTCATATAAATACATTCACGTAAATAACATATTCAAAGTAAATTAGTTATTTTTAGAAATTCAGATCAAGAGAGATTCCAAATTTTTTGTTATAAATGATACTCGTAAAAAAAAAAAAACATGTCAATTGGATAAGAGAAAGAGAATGAGATGTGTTTACTTGGAAATTTCTTCATGGAATGTCCTAGCTAATTGGTGGGAAAAAAATCGTTAAAAGGATAAAACCCTTTTCTCGTATGTGATTCCATTCCATCAAAGAGGTTGATATGTGGGGAAGAATACTTTTTCATCCTTCAATCTCATAATGTTGTATGAAAATGCAGTTTAATCATTTTGTAAAAGCTAAATTTTGGCATCTTTAATACTTAGATGAGTTAAAAAATGAAAAAAGAGTTCTAAAAAAGATGTGGTTTGAAATATCATTAATATATATATATATATATATATATATATATATATATATTAAAACATTAAAATTATGGAAATTTTTATTTTATATTTTCAAACCATAAGATGATATGCCTATCATACGATAATTAAAGTAATAATTATTTGATTTATCATTAAAATTGATATTTTTAAAAATCTCATATGTTTAAATTGATAAGTAAGAAAATTTAAATAATATTTTTTCTTTATTTATAAGTAATTATAAACAAGGATAAAAAAAGTAATTAATTACATATTTATAAGAAATTATCTAACACATGTAAATAATATAAATTAAATAATGATAATTGCTTAATAATCATTGTGAAAAGTAATATCTATAATGATAAATGTTATTCGATAGGTACATTAAAGATTTTGACAATAATTTACCTAAAAGTTAGTGAATTTAGGACTCTTATATTGGTATAGAACTATTTAAAGTGTCTCTTATAAACGAGGTTAGATGAGAGGAGAAGTGCATTGTAAGGAATGCAAGACCCATTTTCTTAGCTACTCTCATTAACCCAATCCAAACCCACAATCAGGTGCTCCTTGATGCAGACTCATGTGAAGAAAGTTCCAAGAGGATTAGGCATCAGCCACAACACCTGAAGGACTATGTGGTCACGTGTCCCACCTCACACAAAAAGGAGAATTATGTTAGAGAGAAATGATTGGAAAGTATTTTCGTTATTGCGTATGATTGTATTGCAAAGTTATAACCATTTGGTGTATATATAACACACTATTGTATTGAAAAGAAGAGAAAGGAATTAAAAAGTATTTTATTTTCCTCTTAAGAATCTTTTCTCTTTTATGTTATCATTCTTCCTTTCTTTCTCTTTATAGCATCTTTCACTGGTGCTTTCATTGCTTACTCACCATGACAAATACCCCTCCCGTCCATGACGAGCTCTCCAAGCTCAACGTCAAGCTCGAACAACTCCTCCTCTCCCATGCCAACCTTTCCAACCGCACTGCCCTTCTGGAGAACCACCTTGACTCCCCACACACCTCCTTTCCTCGCCCCCTCAAATTCGATCTACCCATCTTCAACGGATTCGATGCACTTGATTGGATCTTTAAGGTGAACCAATTCTTCGATTTCCATCACACTCCTACAGATCAACGCATCCAGCCAGCCTCCTTCTACTTGGAAGGCCAAGCCCTTGCTTAGCTTCAGTGGATGCACAACAATGGCCTTTTCACCTCTTGGGATGCCTTCCTCAGAGCTCTTGCATTTTGCCCCTTCCAAATTTGATGACCCCATTGCGGCGATCTGCAAACTCACTTAAACTCAAAGTCTCCATGATTACCTTTTGGAATTCGAGACGTTGGCAAATCGGATCTCCGATTATCCACAACACTTCTACCTCAGTTGCTTCCTTTCAGGTCTCAAACCCCACCTCCGGTGGGAGGTAACCCGCCTTACAACCACTTGACCTCCCTCATGCCATAGCCCTTGCCAAATTCCATGATGATAAATATCATACCTCTTCCCCCCTACCCAACCGTTTTGGCAACACTGTCAGATCCTCACCTCTTTCCCACAACTCACCACCTCCACCACTCAAACCTCTACCACCCCTCCTGCCCACACCACCCACAAAACTCCCCATTAAGAGACTGACGGAAGCGGAGAGGCAAGCTCATAGAGATAAGAATCTTTGCTTTAATTGTGATGAGCGATATACTAGGGGTCATCGCTGCAAGTCTCAATTTCTCCTTCTCATTTCTTTCGATTCGAAAGCCTCCGAAGACACGGTGGCACCGGAGGACTCTCAATCACTAATGAGGCTTCACTCGAGGCAGGGTTGATAAGCTTACACGTTTTTTTGGGTCACTGGACCCCACGCACATTTCAGGTTACCGGGTCAATCCAAGGCTATGTTATCCAGATCCTTATAGACAATGGGGCAACACATAATTTTATTCAAAGTAGAGTAGCCCAATTTCTCCGTCTACCTTCTCAGCCCACCCCAAGCCCACTTAGGGTCATGGTAGGCAATAGAGAATTCCTTCCTTACTATTCTTTTTGCCCTCAGGTCTCCCTCTCGCTGGACCAACAAGGCTTCTCAGTGGACCTGTACCCCTTAGAGCTCTCAGGAACCAACGTGGTCTTGGGCGTCCACTGGTTGTCCATGATAAGCCCATTCGTAATGGACTATAATGACCCATTAATGAGATTTATGTGGAAAGACGACTTGATTAAATTAAAGGGTGATCCTGGACCTAACCCTTCGCTTATTTTAGCTCATCAACTTTGTCGTTTGCACAGTACAAACCGAGTTGAAGCTCTTTTCCAGTTGACCCTAGAGCTCCCTTCACCATCCATAACCATCACCAACAAACTTGCCACTACCACCCTCCCTTCTACCTCTCCACCCTAACTATACTCTCTCATCCAACAATATTCCTCCCTTTTCTCTAACCCCACCGAACTTCCCCCTACTCAAACCTCCGATCACGCCATTACCCTCAACCCAAACATTGCCCCCATCTCCGTTAGACCTTACCGATACCCCCAATTTCAGAAGCCGGAGATTGAGTCCCAGGTCCAAAAGATGCTCAAGATGGATTCATTAAACCTAGCATGAGTCCTTTCTCCTCCTCGGTTCTTCTTGTTAAAAAAAAAAAAAAAGATGGCACATGGCTGTTTTGTGTTGATTATCGGGCGCTCAACACCGCCACCGTGAAGGACAAATTTCCGATCCTCATAGTTGATGAGTTGATCGATGAGTTGGGTAATGCTTCATGGTTTTCCAAGCTTGATCTCTACTCTGGATTCCATCAAATTCTCATGACCCCTTTTGATTCAGAGAAGACAGCGTTCAGGACTCACAATGACCATTTTGAATTCCGGGTAATGCCATTTGGTCTTTGTAATGCCCCTTCCACCTTTCAAGCTACCATGAATGACATGTTCCCCCACCTTCACCGTTTCATTATCGTCTTCTTCGACAATATTTTGGTCTATAGCTCCTCCTTACAGGACCACGTTAATCACTTGGAAACCACCTTCCAATTTTTGCTTTCGAACCAATTCTGCCTCAAGGGTAGTAAATGCTTCATTGGGCTTCAGGCAATTCAATACCTAGGCCACGTGGTCTCCAGTCAAGGGGTTTAGCTAAATCCTGAGAAGCTAAACTTTGTTAGGAATTGGCCAGTTCCTACCTCACTCAAGTCTCTTCGAGGATTCCTTGGACTCACAGGGTTTTATAGACGCTTTGTTGCTCATTATGCTTCTATTGCCCAACCCCTTACTGACCTTCTCAAGAAGGACAATTTCATATGGTGAGATAGCGCACACCAGGCCTTTGTTCACCTCAAGAACACCCTTCTTGATGCCCCTGTCTTAGCTATTCCTAAATTTGATATTTTATTTGTAGTACATACTGATGCTTTTGGAACAGGTATGGGAGTTGTTTTGTCTCAGATGGGGCATCCTATCGCATATTTTAGTAAGCAATTTTGTCCAAAAATGCGAAATGCTTCCACTTATGTGCGTGAACTATGTGCCATTAGCTCGACTGCGTAGAAATGGTGACAATACCTTCTGGGCCGCCACTTTGTTATTCAAACTGACCAACACTCTATAAAGGAACTTCTTACATAGACAGTTCTCACTTTGGAGCATAAAAAATATTTGTTCAAGTTATTAGGCTTTGGCTTTGAGATTCAGTACACGCCTGGGAAATCCAACAATGCAGTTGATGCTCTTTCTCGCATGTGTTGTTCATCCAATTCGGATCAACCTTTTCTGTTGATACTCTCCGTTTCGAGTTCTGAATTTCTGCAGGCTCTTAAATTCTCACTTGCTGCTAACACTGAATTTCGAGTCCCTCAGAGACAACATTGTTGCTCAATCGGATGACTTCCTAGATTTTTCTTTAAAGTAAGACCTCATCCTTTTCAAGGGGAAGACTTGGTTGCCCTCATCTTGTGCCCTCATACTTCTGCTCTTGCACGAATTCCACTCCACACCCATGGCTGGCCATACGGGTGTTACCCGCACTCTAAGAAAACTTGCCACCAATTTTCATTGGGATGACATTCGCAGAGATGTTCGAAAATTTGTGAAGCAGTGTGTTATCTGTCAATAGACCAAGATTCCAACCCAACGATCTTCAGGGCTCTTACAACCTATTCCTCCTCCCTCTCAGTGCTGGACGGATTTATCTCTCGATTTCATCGTTAGGCTACCACCTTACAAAGGGTTAACAACCATTTTAGTTGTTGTTGAAAGATACTTAAAAGGTGCCCATTTCGGAATGCTTCCAAAGTCATTCACGGAAATCACAGTGACTCAACTTTTTATTGATATCGTTTGTAAGCTCCATGGTTTGCCTCACAATATCATTTCCGATCGTGACCCCATTTTTCTAAGTCATTTTTTACAAGAATTATTCTGGTTGAGTGGCACTAAATTGAGGATGTCCACGGCTTACCACTCTCAATCCGACGAGCAAACTGAGGTGACCAACAAGGTTTTGCAGCAATACCTTCGTTGCTTTGTCCATCACAAACCTACTCTTTGGGGAAATTTTATTTCTTGGGCCGAGTGGAGTTTTAATACATCAGTCAATGCTTCCACAAGGTTTTCTCCTTTTGAGGTTATTTATGGTTATAAGCCTCCACTCATGCCCCCCATAATTCTGGGAAACACGCCTAATGCCGTTGTGCAGTCTGAGCTCTCCTCTCGCATGGACATACTTCGCAAGCTCGTATCCAACTTGACAAAGGCTCAAGCTTCGATGAAAAAGTGGGTTGATCAGTCTCGCAAAGACCTTCAATTTCAAGAAGGAGATTGGGTGTATGTTCGCCTTCGTCCTCGCCGACAAACCTCCATCACGGGTACAAGTTCTGCTAAGTTGATGAAACACTTCTTTGGGCCCTTTAAGGTGGTCAAAATAATTGGTGAGATTGCTTATGAAGTGGAGCTCCCACCTTTTGCTCGCATTCACAATGTGTTTCATGTCAGTCTCCTTCGCCTTCACAAAGACCCTCTTCCCTCTGACCTTTTGTCCTTACCCCCCATCATAGAGGACAACCAACCCATTTTGGAGCCTGTTGCAATTTTGGATTGGAAGTGGGATAGTTCCTCCACCCCCCACCATATTCTGGTTTTAGTGCATTGAATTGGTTTACCACTTGAAGAAGTCACTTGGGAGGACTAGTCTCTTCTGCAATAGCAATTTTACCTTGAGGACAAGGTTTTTCTCGATCCAGAAGGGGATGTAAGGAATGCAGGGCCCATTTTCTTAGCTACTCCCATTAACCCAATCCAGACCCACAACCAGGTGCCCCTTGATGCAGACTCATGTGAGGAAAGTTCCAAGAGGATTATGCATCAACCCCAACACCTGAAGGACTATGTGCTCACGTGTCTCACCTCACGCAAAAAAAGAAATTCTGTTAGAGAGAAATGATTAGGAAGTATTTTCGTTATTGCATATGATTGTACTGCAAGACTGTAGCCATTTGGTGCATATATAACACACTATTGTATTGAAAAGAAGAGAAAGGAATTAAAAAGTATTTTATTTTCCTCTTAAAAATCTTCTCTCTTTTCTGTTATCTTTCTTCCTTTTTTTCTCCCTATAACATCTTTCATGCATTCGTGAGAATCCGTCATGCGAAGACATTGACTCCACATGCTAAATTGAAATACTCTACTTAATTGGTAGCTATTGGAAAGATGTTTAAAGGAGCTACGAAATTACATAGGGTGTTGATTTAGTTAAGGTTAAGATAGAAAAAGTGTGCGAGGACAGTGTTCTATTTTCTTTGCCAATAGATGAGATTATTGTTATGAAATAAACACTTAAAAATTTATGTTGTTTAGCGTAGACATCTCCTTAGACCCATAACATAAAGCATCATATAAGCTATTAGGAGTTAGTTGCCCCAAATAAGATAATTTATTAGAATGTCATAAAAAAAATCTACAAATAAGCTACTAGGAGTGAGTTACTCCTAACATTAACTAATATAATCAAATGAGCTATATCACTTGCTTGTTTCATTATATAACCTGGTGTAATATTTCATCAATTATTCTGTAAGTCAACACTATGGTTAAATTGTCTCACTTTATAAAGTTTGATTAATATGCTTAGGTAAGAACAAAACTTGTTTGTGTGTGAGGGAGTGATAACCCGTTAGAATTTTATTTAATCTGTTTATATATTTATAATTTTGACCCCTTAAATATTTTTAGATATTTAAATTTAATAATATATTAAATTTGTGTTAACTTAAATAAAATATTATATATATAAGTTCATATTATTTTTTATCATAAATATTAAAATAAATAATTAAATATACAAGGTTTAAAAAATATTTTATATTTACTCACTTTTACATCATCTTTCATTCATTTACATACAACATGTCATTTGACTATAAAATTATTAGTCAACTGTGCTTGTGGATTTAATGATTTGATACACTAGTAGTTAAAGGTAAAATTAGGAATATATTTTAAAAATACTTATAATCTCGTTGTTAAACTACAAGTTGTGAGGTTATTACATTTGCTTGCTTTATGTTGGTTTTAAACTTGTTTTTAGAGGAATGTCAATGTCTTTCTAAATTGTTACATCAACAACAAAGAGATATATATTTCACAACCGCGTGACTTTATATTTCACAAGTTTTCTAATCATGTCTATAAACTAAAATAAATAAAAAAATTCATGCCTTCAACTTTCATTTGACTAAGAATGTGACTTAATATATATTTCGCCGAACTTTATGATTAACTCTAAATATTGTTATCAAGGAATACAATAAATAGTTATATATGCAGAGGTAACCGAAAGGAAAATGAAGAAAAAAGTATTATCCCAACACTCACAAAACAGCCTACTATTTCAATATTAATTGTTTTGAAACATTTATACTCAAAGAAGAGAAATTTATTTATACCAGAACTTAACTTCAAATGGAACACAACACAAACACTACAATTTGCTACCGAAAGTAGAATCCCAACATCTGTTTATTTAAAACCTTTAGCTCAAGAGCTTAAAGTATTCAACAAGTATTAAAAAAAAGGTGTTGGTAGCATATTTTTTGCTGGTAAATCATGACTCATGAGTCTCCATCACACTCATAGTAAACCTATTTGGAAGCAACGATGGATGCATATCGAGCTTTGAAAAAGCCCACAACCCTCTCTCTTTGAGGCAGGTTCTCTTTGACAACAGGATGGTTTGTGTATTCTTCACTCCATTTGGAAAGCTTTGGAAACTTCTCAGAGCTCAGCAGTTTCAACCCCACAGCCTCTTCGATCGCAGGGAGCCAGAAAGCTATGAACCCTGCGGCTATGTCCACTATGCCAATACTCTCTCCACCAAAGAACTTGTGTTTCAGTTCATTCTCCAGAAATTGAAGAGCCTCTAGTGATTCCTCACTGCCCTTCTCACGTTCCTCCTTGTTTGCAGTGAATGCAGCCTTTGTTATTGCAGGCAGACACTAAAAAATTGAAGGTTCGTGTTATTTGATGATTGATGAAATCATTGAAATGAGAAATCTTATGGAATGTTCTGAAATTCTAAAGCAATGAGCACAAATGTTTATTTCAATGTACTTGCAGAACACACCAACAAACTAGGATCCAAATACCAGTGAGAAGAGTTTTGGTGTTGAGTGATCATAATTTAAATATGCATCTGCTTCTGATTATTGCTACAATATGTGCAAACCTAGTTTAATAGGTTATTGGCAGATTATAAAACTTACACATCAGATGCTTAACATACAAAATCAAATTGTTTAAATAAAATTTTACTATTCACAGTTTCATGAATGACAGTTTTTTGCAATAAAACTTTTAATAGTATTTGATCTTTAGAAAAATTATTCCAATATTAATATCATTTTAAAAAATTAATTTATTTTCAAAAATAATATATTCCAAATATATCATTAAATATAATTCTTAATATTGTTATTTTTATCATAAGCATCAACAATTTTTTTCTTTGTTAAAAATTAGATAAAATATACATCAAAGTTACTTAATTTTAAAAAATTGAAATAAATTACAAATTTCAAATATACTCATTAATATTTCTAGGAATAAAAAAAACACCTGCATAAAACTATAAAGATTAAAAGGTTGATGAAAGTTAAATCAAAATGAAATTTACCTTCTTGCATAAAATATTTCATAATTTAAAAGATTTCAAATATATTGTTTTTTTTAATAATTAAAATTTCCAATGATTTGTTTTAATAAAATAATTTAAATTTATTGAATTTTATTTTATTTATTTAAATAAAGTATTTCAATTATTACTAAATATAAAAATTTAATTTGTAAATTAGGTTTGATTTCATGACGTAACCCTTTATCCACGAGGGTCACGAGATAGATCATGTAGATTCACTTCAGTCAGATGGCAATAAACGAGATTGGTAAGATTGGATTTGTTACAACGAATTACATCGAGTCAAAATGACTATATCAAGTTAGGTTATCAGGTTTGACAGATCAAATTAGTCATAATAAATTGGAACTCAACTCAAGTCATAACTAATATAAGATATATTAATGAGATGGATTAGATCAAATCAAAACAAGATGTGACAAGAAGGTTCATATAAAAATAAATCACATCAAATTAAAATAATTCAAGTTAAAATAAACTGGATTGATAAACAAAAATTATTTTGAATAATTAGATTAAATTTCATCGAAAAAAAGATAATATCAAATTAAAATGAGTTAAGTTGAAATAGATTAAATGAAAATAAATAATAATTATTTTAAATAATTAGATTAAACTTTATAAAAAATTATCGAACATAAGTATTGACATAAATTTGAGAAAATAAAAAAATAATTTATTTTAAATTCTTAATTTTTAAATAAAATTTGAAATTATTTTATTTTAAATAATTAAAATGATCATATTAATTTTTGAAATTTTAATTAATTTCTAAATTTGTTGTAAAACAATAATTTTTTCATAAATATTTTAAATATTCTATTAAAATATCAATTATCTTTTATATAATTTTTAGTTGAAATTTTCGTTGAAACTCAACATTAAAGTAATTAATATTTAAACTAATGAGTACAAATGAAAGAGAGGTTAGCATTTGTCTCTTGGAATTAGTTATGTGTTAATATTTGAACCTAAATAGTTCATACCATAAAAGATATTTAGAGAGTATAAAGAATTTGACTAAAAGAAACGAGTTACCTTACCTTGTCATCGATGAAGCTTGACCAGAATCGAGCCAAGGCTCTATGATAGGGGTGCTGAGGGAAGATGGGGTGATTCCCCCAGGTCTCATCAATGTATTGAAGGATGACAAGGGACTCAGCCAAGGGTCTTCCATTGTGGACAAGCACAGGAACCTTCTTGTGAATAGGGTTGTATTTGAGGAGAAGATCACTCTTGTTTCTAAGATCTTCCTCAAAGTATGTGTATTGGACTCCCTTCAGTTCCAGGGCTACCTGCACCCTTCCAGCAAAGGGACTTCCCCTCACACCAAACAACTGAACTTCTCCATCTTTGGCCATTGTAGGGTTATAGAACTTCAACCTTCTCTTAACTGTGAATGTGGCCTATCGTTTTTAAATGGTTTGAACTCAGGTTGGTAAATGTGATTATGTGACAGGGCAGGTGTGTGCTACTCCTGTTGAAAACTGCCAACGTTTCTTTAAGGCAACTTAAAGGAGGTTGGTAGAATTTGTGATGCAGTGGCCACCACGTCTTACCAATGTCAGTTCCTTCCTTCACTCATATATATAAAAGAAATCCAAGGAAAAATTATGTATATTTATTATTATTTTTATAATTAATTTTTAATAAAATATCTAAAATAATAATTTATAGATTAAAATAAATAATAAAAATTTAGATTAAGTATTATATATACATATAAAATATTATTATTACATGTGATATACTTTTACAATAAAAAATAATGTAAAATTTTACATTGTATTTTCAAAATTAAATTTTTAATTTAATTTTTATTATTATCATTTAATATTTAACTTTTATATAATACCACCTTGTATTATATATATAATTTGCTAAAAATTTAGGATTTCTTTGATATAATTTTGTTTTAGTTTTGTTTTTAATTTTAAAAATATGTTTAATAATTTTATTTTTAAAAAATAACCAATAAAAATAAAAACAACGATGTAGATGAGAAAAAAAATTAAAAATAATTTCATAATAATAAAAATAATTATTTTAATATAATTATTGATGAAAGTATAAATATATATTAACAAAAATAGAAAAATAAAATATAGATAATTATTAAAAAATTTAAAACATAGATAATTTTTTAAAATCTTGTTAATAATTATCAAACAAGTTTTTTAATTTTAAAAATAATTTTTTTAACAATAAACAAAAAATTATTTAAATTTTTCATCAAATATTATAATTTTTTTAAAATTATATAATAAAGATTTTTATTTTTATTTTTTTAGTGGAATAAATATTTCATTTTAGAGTAATTGTGTATTAGTTAAAGAAAACTCATTCACAGAGTAAAAATTATAAATTAAATTCATTAATACTTGGTAAAACCTTTTTTTTATTATTATCAACAAATCAAAATCTATTAAATTATTTTTTTCAACATGTTATGGAAGGTATAAATAAATTTTATTAACTAATTCCTCAATTAAAATTCCTTAATGTGAAAAAAAAAATTACATTCTTGGAAAGTTTGAGCACAGGGAAAAATCATAAGTGTTTCAAAAAGTTGTGGTATACAAAGTGCATCATAGGAGTATTAAGAAAAAGAGTCGAATATATAATTTTAAATAATGAGAAACAAAAGGAAAGTGTGTATAGAAAAAGAGGGAGTGTAAACAGTGGAACCCTTCGAACTGGATGAACCGGAAAAACCTCACTTCAGATGATTGGATAAAAAAATATTCACTAATTCATTTTATCTATTAAAAAATAATTAAAAAATTGGATATCTTCATCCATAAAAATAATATATTTTAAAAAAATAGTAATATATTTTTGAAAATGATTTTGGTAAAATATATTTTATATACACATTTTTGAAAACTTTTAAAAACACAAATTTAAGAAATACTAGTTTTGAAAAGAATTGATTGGATTAAATTTTCTTATTAATGATATTTCATTTTAAAACCTTAAAATATTGACTTTTATTTGTTTCTGATTAGTATTCTATGCATAATATTTCAAATATTAATTGTTGTGGAACCGTGGTAAACATAATATTTTTTTTATATTAGAATTGTATTGAGATGTTTATAGTTATTAAAAAATCATCTGAACTTATGATTTGAATTTATTTGGTTTTTATTTTTTAAAATAAATTAAAACTAAATTAAACAAATATTTTACAGTTTAATTTAAGATATTTTTTTTATAAATTTATTATATTAATAAAAATATATTATAAAAATATCATACATAAATAATTATAATATTCATAATTTTAATTTATTTATATGTTTTCACAATCGATTTAAAAATAAAAGTAAAAATACATATATAATAAAATGCTATCATCTTATACTTTTAAGATCAACAATATAAATTTTCTCCCAACGGATTTCAAGTCAACACAAGATTGGATTTTCGAACCATGGATTCATGTGGTCAAGGGCTAAATTCTAATGCTAACAATATCCTTAAAATCTCACTATTTGGACTTTGTAATTGTTTATTGCACCACCCAGATAACCTGGGCCTTGAGCCCAAATCATATGGACAAACTTTATCATAATCGCAACTACTGGAGACCAATGAACAAACTTTATCATTCAGATAATAAACCGTGTTCAAAATATGAAATTATCTTATATTCTTATAATGTAAATAGGTTTAAATTAAATCATCTTATGGAATTTTGGACCGACCAAACTTACAAAATAATAATTATCTAAAAAGTATATTATTTTATTAAAAAATAAATACAAATATAATATGATTTATATCAAATCTCTATATTTAAAATTAATAGTAATTTTATTAAGGTAAATTCAATTTTAAAAGTTTATAGACTTGATAATGTATGGTTGACTTAATGTTTTCTCATACTATACTTGATAGAGGACACAATCTATCATCAACAAAATACTGAAATATAACATTTTTATGGATACAGATTAAAAGTGTTCAAAAACGTTTCTTTATTGAAAATCTAGAACTTTTTTAATAAAAAAACTACAAATAATCTTTTTAATTTAGTATAGAAACAGAGTCAATGATGTTTGACTTGAGGTTTATGTCCACTGAAGACAAGAAATATGAAAGATAAGAAGATTAATAATGAAGAAAGGTTGAAGTAGAAGGCTCATTCCTCTTGCACCAAAAATCCTAAATGCGTACTCATAAAGTTTTGGTTCAATTTAGTTGATAAATCAGGCAATGAAACAGAAGACCACTCGTTTAGTTGAAATTAACATAGTCAATCCCTGATAAGATGAATATTTTCCAAAAACTACCTCTAAAATTGTTCTACTTCTTCGCAGAAGCTTTGAAGAAAGCAAACAATTCATCTCTAGGAGGCAGGCCGTCCTTGATCACAGGGTGGTTGGCAAACTCTTGGCTCCATTTGTATAACTTTGGAAATTTCTCAATGGTGAGCAATTCCAACCCTGCAATTTCTTGCAATATGGCAACCCAATATCCAATGAAATTGGCAGCAATATCAACCAATCCTATGTTCTCTCCTCCAAAGAATCTCTTCTCCTTCAGTGCTTCCTGCAGAATCTCCAAAGCTTCCAAGGCTTCCTCCACTGCTTTCTCACGCCCCTTCTCATCACTCCAGCATGCATTCCATATAGCAGGCAAAATCTAAAACCAAAAGAATATAACTTCAAATTCTACCCTAAAGTTGTGTTTTTCCCAAACTCTTCTGCAGTTATCTAACAACAAAATATCCTCTAAGAACTCTTTTTTTTAAGCTCTTGGTTGCTTAAAAAGGATAGTATTTTTACATTTTAACCTTCTTCAAACAGGCCAAACAGAGCTACACTTTCTCAGGTGTTCTTTTAAACATTTTGTTTGACTAGACTTCTTTCTGAGAAGAAGAAAAAACTGGTTTAATTTAAATTGATATCCAAATGATTTTGCTATATTCTGCTATCTGGTTTTTCATGACTCAACACAATTCAATCAAAACAGTGGAAGAGAAGTGTAAAACAGAAAAGATTGCTAACCTTGTCATCTAAGGTCTTAGCCCAGAAACGTGCCAAGGCTCTCTCATAAGGGTCTTGAGGCAAAAGGGGGTTGTTTTTCCAAGTCTCATCTATGTATTCAACAATAACAAGTGACTCAGGTAAAGGGTTCCCATTGTGGACCAGAACAGGAACCTTCTTGTGGACAGGGTTGTACTTGAGTAGGTCCTCACTCTTGTTGGCAAGATCTTCCTCAGAGTATTTGTAGGGAACTCCCTTGAGCTTGAGGGCAAGGTCTACCCTGTTGCTAAATGGGCTGGCCCACTTCCCCAATAGCCTCACTTCTGAGCTCTCTGAAGCCATTGGGAATGCTCAAAATTGATTTGTGTGGCAAAGCAAGGTGTTATTGTTAGGGTATGGTTTATGAGTTTGGCCTTTATAGAACGAGCACCAAGATCAGTGAAGTTGGAATTTCGAATCTGGAGTTGGTTTTGGTCAACTTTGGACACTGGGGTTTGGTGGAGGTAGTGGTAGGTGGCTTCCTCGAATCTCATGTACTTCTTATTATATCAAGCTTTTGGTATTTTTAAAGTAGTTATGAAATTTAAAATAAATAAATAATTGAAAAATATAATATTAAGTATTTTTTTAATATTATACTTAGTCTAGATTATTCATTACATATAAATATTAATGCTATCACACACAATATATACACTTCCTTCTTAATATATTTTATTTCATATGCAAAATAACTTTATGTTATGTTTTAAATTATACGCATATTTTTAATGCAATCTTAAATAACCCATTTTTTATTAATTTATATGAAAAAAAAAATGAAACTACAGAATCATTATTAAAAAATGAAAAAAATGAACATAAAGGATAAAAGGTTAAATATATTTTTTTTCCTTATACTTTTTATTAAATTTTATTTTAGTTTTTATACTTTAAAATTAATTTAGTAATTTTCAAACTTAAATTTTTTTGCAATAAATACAAATCTTTACATTTTAAATTAGTATTATAAAATACTTAAATTATATTATGAAATTTTATGCATTTTACTATTTTACAACAATAAAAAAATATTACTAATGTTAAATCTAAATATATAAAGTGATTAAAAATTTAACACTGAATTTATTGATTTAAAAATAAAAAAAGTTACATTGGGCTCGGAGTTTGGTTTGCTTGAATGATTTAATGGGCTATACATGGGCCTTTCTTTAGGCCCTCGATTACTGTAATTTTGTTACTTTGGTTTATGAAAGTGTAAAGGGTAATGATATTAATTCTAAAGTTTTATTTTTAAGTTTGTTTTAATAGATTAAAACGTGGTTTTAACTCTTCAAAGTTATTCACACTCAATACATAACTCATTAAACTTATATTTTTAAAGAATTATTACATCACTACTATATTACTTCAATATTGTGCGTAGGTTAGATCACATTAATTGGTTCACTTCTTTTTCTCTACTTTTCAAATTGTATCAAAACTTTGATGGAAACTAGTTCTCGTTGTTTTCTTTCGTGTTTGTCATTTGATTATTATTATTTTTTATAGATTTTTGGTAGATATTATTTTTTGTCTAGGTCTAGTTGCATTTGATTTTACACTTTTGAAACGAGTTTATGAGTTGTTTAATTTTGTTTTGTTTGCTAAATTTTATTATTTTGGAAGATTAGAAAATTTTGTTGTATTTTTATATAAAAATATTATGAGTTTTACTTATGTAATTGAATTTACGAAGTTTATTAAATGTCATATTTAACCCCTGTGTATAATATTAATTATAGTTTATATATTGAAGATGATGGAATACATAACTTATTTTTTTTCATGGTTCTTAAAATTGGACCAGTATCATACCCGTAAACTTAAATTAACTTATTTTTATAAATTTAGGGTTCAAAGATTTTGAAAGAATATATTAGAATTAAACCGAATTTAATAAAATAATATATTTTAATAATATATTAAACTTAAAGTAAATTTATTATAACATAATAATAATTCCAATAAAATATAAATATTATTTTAAAAAGTATTATATAATAATAAGAATGATTCGTGAAATATATAGAGAAAAATAACATGAATAAACATATCATTAAATACTTGAAATATAAAGTAATTAGAGAAAAAAATTGTCATTTACCTAATTTGAAAATAATTAGGAAAAAAACCTACGATAATTGAAAATAATTAGAAAAAAAATTACATCTAACTTGAAAACAATAATAGAAAAAATTTGCACCATATCTTCAATTGCATCTAATTTCAAATTTTATACCATTTATTTTATTTCAAAACATGGTTATGAAATCCAAAGATAAATCACTGCATTTAACCCATTACCCACTTATCAATATCAATTTTACTCTTAATATCTAATTTTAGAAAACCCCAATTTTAAAAAATTCTAATTTTAGAAAATCTCAAATTTAGTTTCATGAAATATGCACTGAATATTCCTTCAAAATTATTATTTCTTTACCATATGACATCTCCAAAATTATTTTATCAAATTAATTTTCGAAATGAAGAGATTGTGATTCTTACATATTATTGTATTTCCATGAATGATTGTAGTGACGATAATAATAGACAATTACGATAGCAAGGGCGACACCGAAAGGAGACCATCAAAGGTAGTGCGTGGCGATAACGATGATAGTTGTTAGAACAAAACTGTAATGAAAAAAGAATATCACTTCTAATACAAGAAATAACGTTCTCTTTTCATGCTTATGTCTCTCTGTAATAAACTAAAAAAAGAAAGAAAAAAAAGGACAAAACGACGTCGTTTAACTCTTTTTTTTAGAAAAGAAAAGAAAAAAGAAGCTGATCGACCCTTTGACTTACTCGATTTCACCAATTTATCTAAATTTTGACTAGTTTATTATTGGTCCGGTTTTTAGGAACTTCGAACTAGGAACCAGTCCGATTTTGATAACTATGTTAATTAAAGACTTAGTCTAATTTTTTTGTTTAACTTACAATTTCAATCTTCTTCTTTTTTCTTTCTTTTTTTTCCTATTATAATACGTTCATAAATCTCATATGGCTTAAGAATCGAGATAAATGGTAGTTTATATATATCCTACTCTCTTAACCTATTTAGATATCTTTTAATAACAAAAATCATGATAAAATAGAAAATAATTCAAACATAAAAATTTAACTTAATTTTCTCGAAAACGAAACACTCTCAATTTTCATTCCATTCATCGTACCATTCCAATTAAGTTTTGCCACCTAATAATTCGTATTACTCTTTCACAACCCTAGTAGCATTTTCACATAACTAAAACATTTGAAGTCTATTACTTCTAACTATCCTTATCACTTATTAACCTAAATACCATTAAAGTCTTTATCTTAAATTCGCATACGCTAAAGATAAATTAAATTTGAAGTTATAACAAATAATCTATTTTGATCCCTATTTTTTTGAAATTATATATATATATATATATATATATATATATATATATATATATATTCTTATCTTTAGAAGAATAACTGGAGCATGTATGCATTTAAATAGTAGCTATAATAACATGTAAATTTAAAAGCTTTCACACTAAAAAAAATCAAAACAGGAAGACAAAGAAATAATTCAACAAAAGTTGTTTTTGGTATAATTGGACCATGATAACAAATTAGATATTACTCACATCTCATTCATATAAAAAAAATAATTCACACATATTAACAATTAATTAATTGTATTAAAATTTACTATTTTTGTAATACTTTTCTAAAATGTTATTGCTATTAATTCATAAAAAAAAAATACGTATAATAATATTATAACTAAATATATGAGACATTAATTAAAGTTAAAGTATTTAAAGAAAACATTAAACAATTAAATTTATTTATATTTTGAAACAAGATAAGTATTTTTTTTCTTTCATAAGAGGAGAGTAACTACAAATTCTGGAAGGGTTTGCATGCACTACCTTTGATATTCAAAATTCAAAAGATATATGTAGGAATTGCCCTTTATTTACTAGATTAATGTGTTTAATTTAATGCTATTTATTTGTGTTGAGTATTTGTGAAGTTATATATTTAGCATAACCCAAAAATAATTACTTTCAAGCGTTACAATAAATGAACGAGTAACTTTTCAAAGAAGAAACTATCATAAACATGTGACTTTGAAAATTTGCATAAACAAAATAATAAATGGAGAAGCAAGAAGTAATCCAGTAAAAGAATTTTGTTTTTCAAATTTGGTAATTAATCTACGGTATTAAAAACTAGATATAATTTATTACAATTTGTATCCATTTAATTTTAGTATTAATCTATTTAATACCATTAATTGCATGGACTCACCAGTCAACTTATACATTCAATAGAATTAAAAAAATAATTATTCTTTTTATTGAAGTAATAATTATGATATATAAAAGAGTTTGTAATAAGAGTTGTTTAAGAATAAATATAAATATGTTCTACCTCAGTTGTTTAGAATTTAGTTTTGTTTGTATATTTTTTTAATGGTAAAACTATAATAAAATATTTATTTTTATTTTTAAGTAACTCTTCTATTCAAAATATAAAAAAATATTAAAAATTTGCATATTAAAAACAAAACAACAAATCTTAAGAAGCACAAAATAATTCAAATTCATAATTTAATTTGTACTCAACTAAAAATAAAAATATAAAAAAGTTATAGGAAAGAACTTCTACAATTGTTTTATGTTTAAATTATATTTAGTTTATAAAAAAGCTTATTTCAATTTTATTTTTCATAAAAAGAGTTAATGAAAAAAATGTTCAAACAAATTTTATTGTATATAAAAATAAAAGTAAAACATTATAGATAAAAAATTATTATACTTTTAATTTCTAAAAAATTATAAATGATGGCAAAAAAGAAATATTAGAAAATATAAATGTAAGAAGATAATGTATAAATATTTTTAAATTACTTAATCTAACTAAATCTAATTATAATTAGATTAAATTATTAAATAAAAAATATATTAAATTTATAAACATTTTATATTTTTAATTAGATGAGTAATTGAGTTATTATGATAAAATTTATTTAAATTAATTATTTATTATCATCAAAATTTTAAATAATTAGTTAATATTTTTTAGTTTCAATGTTATCTTAAAATTTTTATTTTAATATGTTTTTATTAAATTTTAATCTAATATGTTTAATTAGAAGAATAAACAAGGGAGGATAAAAAAAACATACAAAAGAAAAAAAAAGAACTGGTAACATTAAATTTTAATATTAATTATGCTTATGCACTGGTAAAAGTTAAATACTTAATAAATTAGGAAAATAATAAATGAACATCTTAAAATAATAACTCTTTTCATTTAAACCACCAACTAGAGTCTATCTTAATCACGGATCTCTAAAAATCTGCATAATAAAGAAAACAAAACAACAAAAAGAGAAGTGAAGACATTGATGAATTTTTGAGGTTGAATGTTTCTTCTCTCTCCAGTGTCTCAAATTTTTAATCCACACCAACCCAGTTGTTGTGTTGGGCTTTGGTAGAAGCTTTTCGGCTCTGCAAGTTCAGTTGGAACAACCAGCATTATGATGATGAAGCAGAAAATTGTGTCAGTTTTGAGACTAGGCCAAGCCTTGTAAGGTAAGTCACAAATTATGTTATGTTTATTTTAAGCTTATTCATCAGATCTAACTGCAACTCACTTATCTTAAAGAGATCACCTTTTTCCCATCATTTCAATATATACTTTTTTTTTTCAATCTTGAAACTCATATCACATAAACAAGAATATTTCTTTCTTATTTTATATAGAAAATAAATCATGTAGATTCAGACACTGAATTTTTGGTCAAAAGAATAAAAAATAAAAAATAAAAAATAAAAATCTACAATCGCTTGTATCCATGTACTTGCTTCTTTATGTTTGAATGGTTTTCTTTCTGCTTAGTTTATTTTCTAACACATTAATTTTTATTTATCCACCTTGTACAAATTACCCAAGTCTTTTTATGTATCTTTTCTTTAGCTTGTCCCTCTATTTTTTGATTAAAAAAATATTTAAACGATTATTTATTAATTTTTGTGAAATAAAAATAGAAATATATGCTTTGTTTGAGTAAAATTAGATTGTATTCATGAATTTGACCAATTTTGTTTCTAGAGATATTGTATTCAATTTCAAATAAATGTTTTTGACAAAAGTATTTTAAAAAAACTTAATTAAAAAAATGTAGGATTTATTTATTTATTAAAAAATTTAAAATAAGTAGATAGATAAAAAAAAAACAGAATTTACTTTTTTATATTAGAAAAAACACTTTTAAAAAAAATACAAACAAACCAGCTCATTAATCTTTAATAAAAATAAAGAATAAAAAAATAAAAATTATAAAAATAATGATTTTAAGATAACAGTTGATTTTGCGGAAAGTTATTCAAAATAGTTTTAATTTTCAGAAGATTTTAAACTTTTTAAACTTGTAATTACTTTTAAAAACTGAAATAAACGCATATTTGAATAACGTATGCAGAAAACGTTTATGCCACGGGCAAATATCGGTTATTTGTGGAAGACGAAATTCAAAAGAACCAAACACACATCCAAATGTACCCTCTTCACAATGTGATGATTTATTCCTTTTAAAACCCCTTTTTAGGAAAAAAAAATAATTTTTTTTCTGTAAAAACCAAATGGCTTTCTGATTCTTGGAACTCCCCATGTGATGTAAGGAACTTGGAGACAGAAACATCCCTTTACAAGACATCCCTTGTTACCATAAAAAAACACTGTGGCCCATAAGAGCCTATATAAACCTCAAATCCTGTAATTGAATTCTTACCCTGTTTTGTCTCTGAGAAACCAAAACTATTCTCAAAATAGCCTTTTTAATTATTTTACAGCAGAACAATGTTTGTTGTTACTCTTGGATTTATCACCTCACATTGCTGCATTTTTCATTCTCTTACCCTTCTGCCATTTCACTTCATTTGTCTCACCATTGATGTTGAATAAATGGATGTGAAGACATAACATTCTGAAGACATGACCTTGACCTGAAACAATAATTGGTATGGTCAAAATTGATAGGAACTCATAAGACATAAATTCTCATATAATTATTTGTGTTCTATTTGAATGTACAATTGTTTAGATAAGGAGAAATAGAATGTCAATTTTTATATTAACTTATTAACTTTATTGTCTCTTCCAAAACTTCACTGCAAACGTATTTAAGAATTTAATCCTACCAACTTCCATTCTTTAGATAAATTTAAATTACCTCTCTTCATTTTATTTTCCTCTTAAGCTTTGTAGTATAAAATATAATTAAAAAAACAATTTAATGTCAAATTAATAATTAAAAAACCATTTACCCATGGTGGATGTAGCTTTCAAAGTAATTATTATAACAATCAAAGAATTGACGGTATATGCAAGACACGATGGTTGAATGAATGAGTGTGAAAAAACTTTATACTATGAATATATATTGTAATTAAGTTGTATAAAATGTGGAATCAGGAATATTACCGAGTCATGGGGGAGCGTTCTATATTGAATGAAGTCAATAATAGTTTCTGATGTGTCTCTTGTATTCACGTGCTTTGAGCGATCTTCAGTACATATCATGATTGGATTCACCTTCATCCTTCACGTATAAGTAAGAAAACAGACATAGCCCACAAAATGGTCCATCAATGTATCCATCTACCTTCACTATCGGACACTGTTGACAACTTATGAAAGGTTCTTTCACCGAACAAGGAGCATAACCTCAACAACAAACAACACTATCAGTAGCCGAAGCAAGGTGTCGCATTGGTGTGCCTTACCATTCCATTAATCCAATCCATTTTGAGGTTTTTGGTGTCTCAACCACCTCAAAGTTTTCACATCTTTCAAAAGGGTCTTGCATCAGAAGGATTCTGCAGGTTGGTAAGGTAACAAGCAACACTGTTTTCTAGTCTGCGCATGGTTTTGTGAAAAAGGGAAAGCGGCAATGAAAGGTGAGGTTTTGATTCAGAAGAGTGATGGTATTGGAGGAGACAAAGAATGGGAAAATGGTTGCAGTGATAAGAATATTGCTGATTTGATTAAAGAGAAATGTAGAGAGAGCAGTTCCAGCTCTGTGTTGCTGTCACCTGAGATGATAGAGCTTGATGGTCAGAGTCAAGGTAGTGCTGAGGATTCCTCTTCATCAACTTCAATGGGGTGGCCGGTTCAGGAAATCTCCGAATCAAACTGTACAAGTCCATGTGGTAGTGAAGATGCAGAGAAAAAGGACATGGTTAATGAGATTTTTGAGGAGCAAGACCCTGTGTTACCAATACAAGGTATTATAATTCAATTTGTTTATGTAAATTATCCATGCCTTTCGTTTTGGTTAACATAGTTTTAGTAGTTTGCGGGTCCAGAGCAAGAAAAGCTTTTAGACTCAAAGAACTCTTTCTGGAAAAATTATATCTATCTTACTCCAAAGTGAGGAGCAGGAATTCAAGTCTGTTACTTATCATATGCTGAGACTTAGTTTTGTTCTACTTGATCAACTCCTTGGTGTTTCCATAATTTAGGTTTAATTTCTACAATGGGGGTTCCTCGCTTATAATATCAACATATTATGTTCTCTAATATGATTTTGGTTCACAGAGCTAGAGCTTGAAATGATGAAGGAGAGGTTTGCAAAGTTGTTACTTGGAGAAGACATGTCAGGTTCTGGAAATGGAGTCCCTACAGCCTTGGCTATATCCAATGCCATCACTAATCTATGTGGTATGTATCCATGAAACAGTTTCTTGAAGGAAGTTGATGTAGTGAATTTTAATTACAGCAATTTTAGCTTGACTCTGAAGTTCTGATAGTAATTAAAAAATTTTCTGAACTCTGTAGCGACCCTCTTTGGGCAACTTTGGAGGTTGGAACCTTTGACACCAGAGAAAAAAGCAATGTGGCGAAGAGAGATGGAGTGGCTTCTTGGTGTCAGTGATCATATTGTTGAACTGAAGCCTACTTGGCAAACATTTCCTGATGGAAGCAAGCTTGAGGTACAAATACAACTTAAAAAACAATTGTTTATTGGTCATAACTCTTTCTGTTGCCTTCTACCCTTTTGAGATAACATTCATTAGGCATTTGAAATGCAAGAATTTTCCCATGGTTGTGAATTCCCAAACATAGACAATTCACCATGGCGGTCATTAGATTAATATTGTAATGTCAGTTGGATACAATCATGAAATTTTAGGATTGTAAATTGAAGTTAAGTACTTTTTGCATCATGCGCCTGTTCTGAATTAAGTTTGATCTAGCCGAATAAGGTACTCGATCATGATTTTTTTTTGAAGCGTTTAAGATCAGATTTACATGTTTGTGTCAAAAATGTGCTAATCCCTCCATGTTTACCTTTAAGATAGTCATCATGATCATGCATTGCATACTCCATGCAACTGCATGCAGGATCTGCCTCCTCAAGTAGATATATATAATATAAAATCACTGGGTGATGCAGGAGAAATGATCTAATATCCATGCTTTTTCCTCTTTTGGATTGATTAACCTTTGTACCAAATAAGGAATATATTGGTAGTTCTTGATGTTAAGACTGTTTATTTTCACACGTGAATCAGGTCATGACTTGTAGACCTCGCTCAGATCTTTACGTCAATCTGCCAGCTCTGCGAAAATTAGATAACATGCTACTCGTAAGATTTTACAGCATTTAGAGCACACTAATCCACTTTCAAGAAATAGCACATTCTAATCATTTTCTCTTTCCATAGGAAATACTAGATGGTTTTGTGAATCCAGAGTTCAGGTATGTGGACCAAGGGGTTGTGGCCCCTGATGCAGATGGTTCATCTTCTTTTCGCCAAGCCCTTCAGCGACTAGAGGAAAAATGGTGGCTCCCTGTGCCTCAAGTCCCTCCAAGTGGTCTCCATGAAAATTCAAGAAAGCAGTTGCAGCACAAGAGGGATTGCACAAACCAGATATTAAAAGCTGCAATGGCCATTAACAGCATTACTTTAGCTGATATGGAGATTCCTCACACTTACTTGGAGTCTCTTCCAAAGGTATAATGTGGATGCCCATTCCCTATTTATTCAAGCATCGTCAGATAGTGATGACTTATGTGCCGTTGATTAAACAGTTTGATTAAGCATAAACTTATCATTTGAGGGCTCATAAAGCTTATGCAAATTATCTAAGAGTTGACATTTATAGACCCAAATGAGCATAAGTTCTTCCAAACTCACTACTAAATGTCTGATCCAATTCTTCTTTCAGACTGCAAGAGCCAGCTTGGGGGATGTCATCTACAGATATATTATAACAGACAATTTTTCTCCTGAGTGTTTGCTAGCTTGCCTTGATTTATCATCTGAACATCAAGCCATAGAGATTGCCAACAGAGTAGAGGCTTCCATTTATATCTGGCGTAGAAAGACCAACACAAGGCCTACAGGTCGCACTACAAGATCTAGTTCAAAATCATCATGGGAAATTTTAAGAGATCTGATTGTTGAGGGAGACAAAAGCGAAGTGCTTGCAGAAAGAGCAGAAAGCCTCCTGCTCTCCTTGAAGCAGCGTTTCCCCAGTCTCCCTCAAACAACCTTAGATATGAGCAAAATCCAGTGCAACAAGGTTAGCATCTAATTATTTATCATTCTCCATCTTGAAGTCTTTTCATGACTTGTATACTTTTTTGGTAGGTTTTTTAGTTCCTACATTTAATAAAAATAATGTTATTGACTTCTTTAGTCCCTCCACAGGGTTTTATATTGTGGTCATTTGTCAAAGTCACAGTTCAGTGACAATTCTTGATATGGTAAAAAATTGAAGACAAATGCAACTGATGCAATTGCAGTTGCAAATTATCTTTTAAAACCTTGCTCAATAATCCTTGAATAAGGATTACAAGTGAGATTTTCTAACTTTTGAGGATTAAACTATCAACTGAGGGTCAAATTTCAAGTACCAAATTTGTCTTAAGCCTCTTTTTTACTTGTTGAGTGTTAAAAAATTGATCTCAGACTTAAGAATTGTTCTGTCTGTTTTCTAGGATGTTGGGAAATCCATTCTGGAGAGTTACTCACGAGTACTAGAGAGTTTGGCATCTAACATTGTTGCACGCATTGATGATGTGATCTATGTCGATGACTTGACTAAACATTCTGATTCATTCTCATCTCTCTCAAAAGTTGGTGTAATAGCACACAAGAGCATTTCAGTTCCATACTCGAGGCCTGGCCAAAAACCATCTTTTGGCAAACAAAGCTTTTCTCCTGCACCATGTGTAAGCCCTGCAAAGGGATCAAAATCACCATTTACCAACACAAGCGACCTTCCCCAAAGAGAAGTTGGAGTTAATAAAGTTTTGAATGATTTTGGTAGCACTGAGAGAAAAGAAAAGAACTATGTCTTCTTTCCAATGGAGAAGTTTATTCCAACACTAAAAACATTTGATGAAGTGCCAGCATCTGAAACAGAAATGGAGTCAAGTGATTGCACAGAAGAAGATGTTCAGCTCAATGTACTTGACCAGGCCTGGCTAGAGGAAAAGGATGTTAATTGACCATTATCATCGGGTTTAATTTTAATACACTGTCACCATAAAAATTTTATGCTGTCAACTAATTGGTAACATTTTTAAGTATGAGGTTTAAGTAGTTACCATAAAATTTAATAGTTTTGAATAATATGATAGTTCATGATTAGTTGACAGTATAAAAATTCTTTACTATCAGTGTATTCCAATTAATTTTTTTATCAGATGTTTTTCTTTTTCAGACTCCTCATGTATATAAAAATGTAGAAGACATACAAAAGTTTTAATTTGCGACTGTATTTGTTGAGAGATTGTAGTCAATATGGTTTACAATCTTCATATGAAATGACTTTTCACTTCCATTTTTCATATATCAGTCTGCATTTATAAAGTTGTTCTCAATTGTGTCACTACCATCACATAATTGATGGTGTTTCTACCTGGGTATATTGCGTATGCTAATTACCTGAGTGATATAGGAAATTTACCCTATCTAGTTGAGCAATAAATAGTGTAGTTTGGTAGTGTTACTGAGGCAAAGTACTAGCTTGGTTAAAAAATGGATTAAAAATTCTTCCATAAACTATTAAATAGTAAATTAAATATTGTTGCAATGCTAGTGATTAAGTATGTGATATTTAATTATTCATGATGGATTTATTGAATTTTTTATTGCTCCCATGTACTTGCAGAAAAACTATGTAGGGAATTAATTAATTTTGACCACACTTGGTTGAGTTAATGTTGAACTTACATTTGACAAATTAGTATTCGATTTACATTATCCATGCCAAAAATACTATAAAATGACATTAATAATAAACATACTTATAAACCTAAATAAATAGTATAATTGAAGGTACTTATTAAGCTTTTACTCTTATGGTCAAAGTAATCTGGTTTGAATTTATTCTAAAAGTTAATATATTAATGGTTAAAACATATCTTGTTTCTTCATCTTATTTTTCGATTTTAATATGGTTCTCTCATTCAATAATATATAAGGATTTATGTATTAAAAATTCATGAAGATGTTTTAATATATGATTATTAACTATTTACGTGTAGATTTTATTTAGATTTCAACATCTTTGTAACTAAAGATTATAGAAATAATATAGGGATCACTTCACTTGGATTTCAATTTACAGTATATTAACTTTAATCTAAAATTGTATAACAACTTTTTGTCCAAACAAAATATATTTTCTAAGAATATTTTTATCATAAAATATTTTTTGTTTTTTCTATATAAATTCTATATTTTTCATAATTTTTTAATCTTAATTCTTCTAATTATTTTAATTACAATAATTTATGTTCCGTTCTCTCATCAAAAGATAAATTACAAATTTTATGTTCTATTTCAAAATAGATGATAAGTCTTACAAAATATAATCTTAAAAGAAAACATTTCTAAAAGTGTTTTGTAAGTTTTTCCATAAACCTAAATAATATCGTTTAATTTAACACTTTAATATTTTTTGGGTTTAATAATGTTTTCTAAAATTTTCTTTATACCTTTATTAAATATTTTAACATGAAAATTTGCTTGTGCATGATAAATTGTAGATATTTTATGCATAACTCTCTCTATATTTTTTTTTCAATAAGGAAGTAAAAAATCTATTACAAAAATAACTTGTTTGATAATTAATAATAGCTCTTGGAATCCCTGCAAAATAAATTAGATTTGACAAAATCTAGGTTAACTTTAGCATCATAAGTCATAGTGATTTTATCTTCCTCCCATTTAGAAACATAATCACAAAGCCTCACATATTTCACATGATTCCCAAATTTGCCTTGAATATTTAAACATGGAAGGCTAATGAAAACCTCAATCAAGTTTTTTTCTTGTAATTATTTTGAGATCAAAATATCCTCAAAGGCAAAAAAAAAAAATGGAGAATATTTCATGATCAAGACTACATATTCTAATAACTTAATCACTACCAAATTTTCATAAATATAAGTTATACCAAATAAAATATTTAGAATCATGTTTTGGTTTATCTTTTTGTGTTTTAGAAATATTAAAAAGATAAATAGATGCAATAATATAATTAAATAAATCTATATACCAAGTTTTATAATTTAAATTAAAATAAGTAACCAATACACTGTCATAATTACAAAGATGAATCATAACAAATATCAGAAATAGAATAATTATCTAAATAATGGGACCGAAATGATCTACAACTAAATTTTTAGTATCACCTCTATCTTGAATAATTACATTAAACTCTTGTAACAAAAACATTCATATAATCAATTTAGGTTTAGAATCAAGTTTTTTTAATAATATTTAAGTGCAACATGATTAATATAACCAATAGCCAATAAGATATAATTTTATATAAAGGAAAAAAAAGATAATAATTATTTTTCTGTGACAGTGTAATTAATTTGTGCAAAAACTAATATTCTAGAAGCATAATAATAAATAACAAAAGGAACCTTATTTATTCTTTGGCAGAGTACAACTCCTAAAACATAATTAGAAGTATCACATATACTTTGAAAAGATAGATTCCAAATAAGAGGATGAATAATATGATTAGAATTTAATACTTGTTTCAAATAATCAAAAGTTTATTTACATGTATCATCAATATTAAATATTATATCTTTATGCAATAATATAGGCAATGAAAAAGCAAATTTACTACAATCTTTAATAATTTTTCTATTAAAACGTGTATATGTCGAAGAAAATAATACACTTATCTAATAAATGAAGGAAAAAAGTATTTGAGAAATTATATTTAATTTAACAAAATCTACTTAAAACCCATCTTTTTGAAATAATATGAACTAAATAATATATTGTTTTACTACAAAATGATATTTTTCATAATTTAAAACAAGATTATTTTTAACACAATTCTTCGATACTTTATTTAAGTTATCAAGAGTAATATCAAAAGAAAAATTACATAAAAAATCATTCATAAATACTTTGATATATTGCTCCAACAAATAATTTTTTTTATTAAGCATAGATATTTGAAAAGTACCAGGGCACTATATTATCCAAAATACACCCTTCTATAAGTAAAAGTTTTAAAATGACAAGTAAACGTAGTTTTATGTTAATCTTCCTATGTAATACATGTTTGAAAATAACGGAAGAAACCATCAAGAAAACAATAAATATATTTACAAGCTAACATTTCAAGCATTTGATTAATAAATAAAAGAGGAAGATGATCCTGTGTAGTGACTTGATTTAATCACTTATAATTAATAAATAGTCTTCAACTATTTTGGATTTTTTTGGAATTAATTAATTTTTTTTCATTTATAATAAAGTTAAACCAAACTTCTTTTAGTATAACTTGCACAGGACTAAATAAAGTATTATCTAAAATATAAGAAATAGTCACTACAAAAAAAACACATTTAGCGACCAAAATTAGTGACCGAATTTTTTGTGTGACAATTAGCAATCAATTTAATTCGATCGTAATTAGCAACCGATTTAATTCGGTCGCTATTAGCAACCGAATTAGCGATCGAATTGATTCGGTCGTAATTTAGCGACCGATTTAGCCATCGAAATATAATTTGGCTTGACATTTTTTAGTTAGCGACCGAAATAGCGACCAATAGTTTGCGTTACAAATTTTCGGTCGCTAAATCCCAAAATAAAAAAATCATTTAGCGACTCGATTTAGCGATCGAATTATAAATTAAAATAGTGACCGAATTAAAATCGGTCGCTAATGAGAAAATAGCGACCCAATATAAATCGGTCGCTAATGAACATTATTTTTTTATTATATTTAAATTTATTTTTTTATAAATATACTTTAATTGTTTTAGTATTTTTTTATAATTTATTTTTTAAAAGTAATTTATTTTTTGTTTACAAATTAATTATTTTTTAAAATTGACTTTATTACATTCTTTTGAAATTAGAAGTAGATGAAATTGTTCGTTTTCAGTTATATTTACTATTATTATTTTTAATATGGTCTGGGTTACATTATGAAACACATCTAAACGGAAAAAAAATAAAAATGAAACAATAACTTTACTTCACACACTGTATAAGAATATATATAAATGAATTGAAAAAGGTTGGACAGATGTTGCAGCTTTCGGCAATTTTGTCTTAAGTGCGTGGCTTTAATACATGCATTTTAAATCTTATCTTCATCTTTCTCCATTCAAACATGTCTTTGCAAACCAAAACCATGAATTCCTTTGCAATCAGGAATGTGTACACCTTTTCGTCTCCGTGCATTCCATCATATCATATCATTTCAATCCATAAAAAGGAAACAAAGAAAACACACTGTATATCTCAAACGTAACAAATTTCAAAATCCATTAAAATAATCATTGTGCACACATCCACATTCGTTGAAAGGTTTCGCATTTTTTTTGTTTCTTTATTTTTAATACTCATTTAATAAATTTTGTATTTACTTTGCAAATCACAAAAACATTGTTGCCGAGTATATTATAGATGACAAACCTTGTATGAATTTTTTTAATATTATTGAATAACATTAATAACATCACTTTTTTGTAGGAATAATATTCTTATATTCTCTATATTCGACTCATGTTATTTGAGATTGATATATTTATTTTAAGGCTAAAAATTAGATTTTTTTTAATTTATTTTAATTAGTTTTTGTTTGAGATTAATTATTATTTTAAATTATTAAATTTTAAAAATAATTACTTACTCTTATATTAAGATGAGAAATTTTGAAATTAAAATTTATGCAAAATAATAAAAAAGGGAAAGTTTCTTTTTTGTTTAAAGTTGCTTTATTTTTTCTTTCAAACAAAAAAAATATACATCATTATATATATATATATATATATATATATATATATATATATATATATATATATATATATATACTTGTCTCTGAAATTTAAATTCCTAATTTATTTTTTATTTTTGAATGTAATACAATTTGATGTAAATCTAAACCATCTCCTAAACATAAGTTAAGGATTAACTTGGTTAAGATTCTTATATGCTTTTAGGTTAAATTGAA